CAGATGTGGAAACATACTTTTTTGTATAAATAAACCTTCCCCCTCTTCGGCGGATTTGGATTTCACTCACAAAACATGGCATATTTTTTTCTAACTTGGTTCTACATTTTCACACATTCTGACGAGGAAGATCGTGATCTGAAAGCTTGAAACACGTCGATTATTCCATTTAATTTTATTTTATGAAACAAAAGTTTTTAGTTTATTTTTAGTATATTTGTGAAAAATATTTTTTTGCTCTAGTTTTAATTATTTGTTTTAGACATATGTCAGTTTTTTCAACCTTAAAAAAGAATTCTTTTTTTCATAATTTCTTTCGGTTTGAATAAGTTTTAGCAATAATTTTATATGTATAATATTTTATATACATCACAGTAAGATTTTTTTTCTCAGGAGACTGTGACTGATTTACATTAAAAAATCATTTTTTTGTCAAACCTTGTTTAAAATAAACTTCAACAACTTTGTCAAAACACGTTTCTGCGTCTTTTTAATTAGGCATAACGTGACATATATTAATCTCGAACATTTAACATTTTGACAAATCAGTGGACCCCTGTATAATTATCAAACTACCTGACGAAATGATTGAGGAACATTTGAGTAATAAAATTTATAATTCATTTATTCAAACACAATTGTATTTTTGAAACATGTAGAAAAGATAAAGCTTAAACTATATATATATTTTTTTTAAGGTAATTTAAGAATTATGTTTGATATACATTAAATGGAATTTGAATCTGGCTGCTTCGATGTTTCTCTATTACATTTTACCCCACTTCTATTGCTTTAAAAATATTGATAACTGAAAAAAGGATTATTTGTTCTCAGAAAATTCGTTTATGTCGTTATTGGAAAAAATTCGGTCGTGGGCACTTGCTAGTTAATACACTTGCTTGGCAAACGATTTATACTGTAATCCATAGCCTGCCAGGATTTTCTAAGATTATGGAAAATTGAAGAAAAAAAAAGGAAGTGTTTTACTTGGAATTAAATGTCTGATCCATAAATAAAAGTTAAGAAATATGAAGCATTGCTTAGTTAATCCATATTTTTTTTTCTTTTTTAACGTTCTTTATTTTTATTTCCATTCATTTATATCATATATATTCCAGACAACCTTGACTTTAGTCTAAGTTTAGATAATAGCTAAAATTTAATATTAATTTCTATGATATAATAATGGTAGCGGATATTATAGGAGTAAAAGAAAAATAATGCTCTTCCCTGGACATTTTTAAAGTATTTCCTTGGTTTCAAGCTACATAAGTTTAAGTTGATGCTAATAGGCTAGTTTTGGGTCGTGTTATAGATTCAGGAATTTTTTCGGTTCCTGATTTGTTTCAAGAATGCACAGCTGAAATTCACAAATGTGTCGACAGTGGTTAAATAAAATTTAGTTCAAAAACTCAAGAAAATATCAAAGCTGTCAAAATTTTATCTTTTGTAATTGGCGAGACTAATATTTAAAAATTAGCAAGATATATAAGGCATAACATGACAATATATATATATATATTAAATTATCAATATTTGTTTTTAAAGTTCCGTTTCCGTTAGCAATTAAATATAGTCTTTAAATTAAATAATTATCAAGTAATAATATTTTCAAAACTAAATTTTTTTTCTAATTTATTTAGCAATTATTTTTAGAAAGTGTAACTACTTATTTTGCTTTTTGGTTTATCACTTTATTTCTTCTAGAGCATATATGTTCCTATATGAAATATATCAATATGAAATATTGATATGAAATTTATAAATTTACCATCCAATCTGACTAACATTAGTAAAATTTGCATTAAAATTATTTTTGCATCAAGTTTCTGCTTTTTCTTAATTTATTGTTTAATTGTAAATACATATACTAAATTAACTTTCTGGTGCGATTAGAAATAAAAGAAACCTGTAACAGCTGTTTATGTAAAGGTGTTTTGTTTGAAGTGGCGCCATCTAGAAATTTAAAGAGAAAATATAACACGATCAAGGATTATATCAAAATTCGTGTTCTTGTTTTTGCGCTTTTATTTTTATTTTTGGAGTTTATTTTATCCATTTTGAGTCAATACTAATTATTTTATGACATTTAATATTTTTTTACGCAAAATATATTTGCATGAAGAAATATTTTGCATGATGATGTCTTTTCAATTGCAAAATATTTCACAACTCCAAGTAGTTCAACATAAAATAATATTTCTAAATTTTAAATTATAATAAAATGAAGCAAAATTTTTGTTTTCTAAATTTTTCTTTTTTTAGATTGAGAATTTACTCAAAATATTATTTTCTTAAATTTTTGTCAATTTATCTCCGCTTCATTTTTACTTACTTAAAAGCAATAAAGTAAAATAATAGCAATAAAACAGAGTATCACAAAGCAGAATATTTCGTCGACGATAAAATATCCTGCATTAGATGTTCAGCTATTTTCGTTAATTTTAAAACATTGACATTATTATGTATCGATTATTGTCAATGAATTCAGATCATTAACGTTAACTATTCTGCTTTGATGTTCAATTGATCTAAAGATTTATCCTTTTCAAACTACAGTTACTAACTTACAGTTATTTTTAAATGTCGAGATTTTTAAAATATGAAATATTTTAGATTAATTGTACAAATGTTATTGTGTGATTTTCTAAATGTTTTTATTTTTTTTTGTTTTTTTTAATTTTAAGAGGATGAAATTGGTTAAAAATTTTTGGTTAAAAATTAATTTGGTTGCTCTGTTACAAATTTAAATATTTTGATTAAAAAGTCACCAGAGTTTTAATATTAAATTTAGCAAAAGTTCATTTTCAGAAATTATTTAATTTAGACTTTAGCCAAGGAAATTAGGAAAAATATTTAACATGAATTTTTAACCAACATGGAAATAAAAGGCTCTAAAACCATACTTGCTAACGTATTTTGCTTCTTTCTTCCGTTACTGGTTTAGTTTTTATTTATTTATTGATTTATTATTATTGAATATTTAAAGTGGTAGTAAAATATGCTTTATCGTTTTACTTTTTATTAGTTCAATAAATTTTATTTACAATAGTTGTGAACGCCATTATATGTGAACAATTTAATCAAATAAGACCTGATAAACGTGAAATGAAGATTTTTATGTGCTTCCAAAAATTAAACAAGCTCAGCTTAACCTTAACTTAACTAACCTTAACTATTCCGCTACTCTTTTAAACATTGTATGATACTTTTAGGTTCTGCTTGCAATTAATTAAACAATTGATTGATTTGACTTATCAATTTAAAAAATTTTTTTTAAATGAATTAAATTACCACTACAATTAAGCAAGTTAATTATAAGCATTAAAGAAAATAGTTTCAATTTCATCCTAATTTGCAAGTTAAACATTTTTGATACTGTTGTAATCTTGTAGTTTTCTTAACAACTCGCAGCAGGCATGCCTAATTTTACTCGTCTCTGTAATAATTTTTCAAACATTTATAATTTTCTCTGTGAGATTAATTGTCGTTAAAACTAAACAATAAAAAAATGCATTTATTTAGAAGTTATTTTTACTAAATAAATAAAATGATTATAAAATAGACTGAAATATTTTGAATATTTATTAAAACATTAAATCTGAACTAACTGAAATATTTATTAAAATAGACTGAAATATTTGAATTATGTGGAGCAGCAAACAACTTTAAAAGATATAAATTTAAAATTGGATTATTAATTTTTATTCTTTTCGGAATTTAGGAATATACCAGAAAAGAATTTCATTTTTAGATGAGGAGCTCCATGTAAATATTTGACTGAAAAAAAAATAATAATTGATCTGAAATCAACAAACATTTTTATGGCAATATAATTTCTTATCATTTTAAATTCTGACTTTGTATAAAAAGGAAAAAATAAAAGCATATGTTATTAACATTTTCATTGTTACTTCGAGGTTTTAATGCATCTAGAATCAAAGAGAGCAAATTCATTTTTAAAAATTATATCCTTTTTTGATTCATTAATAATTTTAAATTATTTTTAAGACGTGTTCAAAGTTATTAATTAAAAAAATATATTAATTTCTAATTGAAAAAATCTTTGTATGAAAATTTATATCTCAATACTTCTTTGAATTCTAAACATAAAAAACATTAAGGTGGAGATTATCAATTTCATTTAAACTAGTATATGTAGGCTCATTGAGAAATCCGGCACTCTGCAAATGCTGAGCAGGACACTTTTTAAGCTTACTACGGTAACCCCACATGCCATTAGGCTAGTTAGAAAATTTATCATTCATAGCGCAATTAGTCTAATTTATTCCGGATAATTTGCAATAAGCCCAGGTTAGAGTTGAAGCTGATTGTAAATTGTCTTATAAAGGTTATAAGTGATAAGCCTAAACAAAATCAGTGTGACCTGAATAATTTTTCGTATATTTAGCCTAAATTGGCGCATAATCTAATTAGACTAACAGACTATTTTTAAAAAGGCTAAAATTATCTTGTAGATTAAAAAGTATTGAAATTTTTTTTCTTCCCAATAACCTGCCACATAGCAATAAGCCGAGTCATGTAAATGACAAATTTTAGTATATTTATAAAAAGTAAAGATGATTAAAACTATGTTTAATTTGTTCCCTTTCAACCCCTTAGATTGTGATTCCGAATGAGTTATTTGAATAATTTATTCATGATGAATTATTTGAATAATTCATTCATGAGGTATTTAATAAGTTTGCGCATCATCAATAATTATTGTTTATGTAAAATTTATTCAAAAAGAAAAAAAAATAACATAAAGAAATCAAATTCATACTTAGTTCGTGATTACAGACAGTTTCGAGAAATAATGTTGATCAACTAAGTTATATACCTTAAGTTATTTGTCAAAAATTTAATTATGCGTCTGTCATAAATGTTTGTAATTGTTTCTTTATGCATTCTTTTTCTTCTTACTTTATTTATTCATTTTTTTTAAACATTTATGTATTTTGAAGTCTAAAATGCCTAAAATTATATACTTATTTCAGGAACTAATCGTTGTGAAAACTGATGAAAAAGGTAAGTGGCACTCTTTGCAGCTTTTATTTCTCAAATAATATCAAGAATAAAATGTTTTTACTATGAAGTTTTTTTATCTTATGAATTTATTTTACTTCTGTAAAGAACTGTTTCTTTTATACTTTCGTTTAAACAAAAATCCAAGTTCTTAGAAAAGTCTTCTACTGCGTCTGGAAATAATGAAAAATGTTGTTTACGCAATGTTTGAACACACACATAGGGAAAAAAAAGAAAGAAAAAAACAAAAAAGAAACAGAATGACTAATATTGTATTTTTGCTTGCAACTTCCCACCACTCCCTGAACTTGTTCGTTTTTTTATTATTATTATTTATTTTTACTTTTTCACTTATTTTCTTCAGTACCAATGAAAGAGGTTTTCTCAATTTTTTTCCTTGCTTTAGCTAGTTTAACTTTGAAAAACAATATTATCCTATTCTTTCTTTCTATAAACTTTCTAATCCCTCAGCTCAAATTGGCTATTTCTTTCGAAAACTGAAAGAAAAATTGGCTTTTGGAGTAAAGAAAAAAATTATTCAGCAAAAAGTATAAACGAATTACTTACATATATTTTTTTTTCTTTTCATGATAATATATTTATTATTTAGCACTTTTATCCATTATCCTTTTATTTATTTAAAATTTTATCTTGCAAGATTTTAGGACTTAATGTAAAAAGTAATTTGATAAAATGCGATTTTGTTTATTTCCCGTGAATTTTCAATTCTATGCAGAAATTTTTTTAATGAATTTTTAAAACATGTTTATTTTAATAGTTTATTACTTTCTTTTCGCCATTATTTCTTTTTCACAGTTTTATACTTTTTTTAATGTTAACAATCTTTTGCAAAATAAAATTTATTCAAAAATAAAGTAATTGAATAGCTATACCTATATTAATTACCCTATTATATTGCTAAATTATGTAACTATACCTATGATTACTAAATTACCCCAATAGCAAAAATCCTCCAAAACGGCAGCTGGCGCTGCAGATTATTTTATTTTAATTTTAAAAAATCTAACGAACAAATAAAGAATAATTGTTGAGAATCCTTTTTAAAACATCTCTACTTGATTCAAATAAAAATTAAAAAGCTAAATTTAGAGAACATCGCAAAGAACGAAAAAAAAAAGTTTTTTTTTTTTTCATTCTGTTACTTGATTATAGACTTAAAACTGTAAAAGGATTTATTCCATTTATTTTAATAACCTTGTACAAAAGTCAACTTAAATAAGAACATAATGAAGTTTTCATGTATAAGGAACTTATATTTGCAAATTTTGCTACTCGTATTTTAGATTAAGCTGAATTTTTACAATAATCTTTGACAGCGTTGAATAGCACATGGATTTATAAATATAGTGCTGCAAATTCGTTCCTTAATTTCTGCTACCGGGTAAATTACTATACCTATATAAGTTAATAAATTGCTATACCTATAATTTATTATATGATTATACAATTTGCAATAAAAAATAATTTTTTTTTTTTTATTATTATTAAACAAAAGCGCTGAGTATATTTCTAATCGTAGGTGTATTTTTTATTTTTAAAATCTTTTTAAAGTAACAAAATATATTTTTCCTTTTGCTCTAAATTGGAATTAATAAAATTATTTTTATTTTGTAGCCAATCCTTCCAATATTCCCCAAGAGCAAAAATCATCATATATTTGCCAACCATCACCGTAAGTATATATTTCTTTATTTTATCTATTATTTATTTTTTAAATTATTACCATTGTATTTCTGAAAATTGAGTAGCTCTGAAACGCTATTTTTTTCTATCATTTCATTGTTAAGATTAGATGACGCACTTTTCAAGCTCGTGTATTTTATTACTACCTCTTGGATTTCCCAATTTGAAATTTGCAATTTTGAGTAGAAGTTTCAGGACTCTTCTATACTATTCATATTTTTTTTTTCATCAGATACAACTGACATATTCTCGCATTTATTGTTTTTTTCCACCCTTTAGGATTTCTTTATGTTTTTGCCTCCCTTACAATTAATTTACGTGTCATTGTATTTGCATTTTTATTTCTGAATTTTTTTTCCTGTTTATTTGAATGAAATAATTTATACACGTTCGTATGAAGTAAAATATTAATTATAGATCCCATTCTTAACAAGGATTCTACAAATATATACGTTTAAACATACGTCGTTGCGTTTTGACGTACGTTGTGACGTAGGATGTATTTACTCTAGAAAAAGACCGAAGAAACTTTTTATTGCTAGTGCTATTTTGTTTCTAAACAGATAATATACTCTAAAAATATTATTTTTTGACACTCCTTTTTTTTCTTATTTGGTTTTATTGAGAAGAAAATAGTCCGCTTAGAATATAGTATATTCCAATACATTAATCCTCATGACATACCGGAGCAACTTATAGCCGTTTTTATTGTGGTTCATTCCAGAAAATGTACTATATTATTTCTAAGTAGACAATACTGCAGCATTTCTGTATATTACATGTTTTAAAAATTATTACGTTTAAACACTGATTTTAAAAGCTGAAGTTTTATTAAAGAAAAATAGGCATTTGTTTATTTTTAAAATAAATATATCTGTTAGAGTATTCCAATATTTTATTATTTTTTTTAAAAAGTCCGGAGCAACAAAGTATTGCCGTATTTTGCGGCTGTTTTTAGATTGATTTAAGTAAGTACATATCTGTTAAGGGATAATATACCTTAAAATTGTTACTTTTGAGAAAAACACTTGTTACTCATTTAATTTCTGAAGAATAGTTAGTAAGTATTGAAATTTTATTATTTCTCTTAACCTCCGTTGCTTTCGAAAGCAGTAAATGGGGTCTTCATTTTTAGGTAGTTTATCAAAGCTAGACCGCACTACGTTATTCATTTGACTGTAAAATATGCTATTTTTATAACGATTTTGAATTTGTAACAGATATTCATGACTGTAAGGCTAATCTTTAAACAATGATCAACAGAACCAGTATTAACCGAAGCATTGTTAATCATTAGCCATGATTAACCATGATTCAGTAATAGCTCTTAATGCTAATTCTGAAACCGGCTCAAAATAAAATGTCATTACAAAGAAAAGCCTCAGTTTTGGGAAAAATTGAAACATTTTTGATTTATTTTTTTCAATACTTGATTGCCAAATTTTGACAATTTATCTGTGCTCAGAAAAATTGTCAAAAATCTGAAATTGCTAATTGATTTTTATTTCGGAGGAAAAATCTTGCCAAATTGGCTATTTTTAAAAAAATAACTTTTAAATGATTAAAAACTTTTAGTGCGTTTTAAAGCACAGATAAATCTTGACAGAAAGATGGCGCATATAGATTAAAATTATTAACAGTGGCTTCTTTTTTATTTATTTATTTTGCTTCGACTAACACTTGCAACAAAAGATTTGGCAGCATTGTATTAAAAGCAGCCAGATTCGGAATCTGATGAATTACATCACCATATTTTGAACTAAAAACCAAATCGATAAATTATTTCCACTAATATTATTTTACCATCACTTTAGTCGAAATATCTTTTTCTTCCAGGAAATATAATTTTTTTTAAAAATAAATTTAAGATTCCAGCAAATTAACAGAATAGCCATTGAACCTAATAAATACTGATATATATAAAGCTTACAACTAATTACGACTTCAGCATGTCCTGCTTATAAAGACATTTAATGTTTATTATAATTATAAATAAGCTCAAAATTAAACATTATTGGTTAATTCACAAATATATTGATCCTTTATGTCACATTGTAAATCGAGTACGTTTTTCTAGAAACAAAAATTCGATTAAAAGTCAAAAATTTAAAATTTTATCGTTTATATGCATTCCAACTATCTACAGCTAGGTTGTTTACGAGCTGGAGCTTATTTCCTAAGCGTTGGATTATTGCTATTTTGTTATAATTATAACTGAAAGGCTTAAGTAGTTGAAAGTACTATTTTTAATTTTTGTTTAACAAACTGCGCAACAAAATTTACACAAAATAAGCTTTTTTTATCAGAAATAAATTAACCTATAAACTTATCTGTCACTTTGGAAATAAAAAGAAATATATTTCAAACAATAATAAAAATACAGTTATTTCGAACTGATTTAAAACGACTTATATTACTTTTGTGATTATACAGCTATATCTAATAAAGTTACTTTCATGACAATTTACCTGTTACGGATCATTTCTTTGCAATACGAAGTGATTATTTCGTTCGTTTACTTGTTTAGATGATAATCATTGAATTCGCATTTGCAACTATTGATTCGTTTATAATATGTTTTTACGAAACAATAAATATTCATAAGGAGAAAAAATTAACAGGCTTATTCTCTGACCAGGCGATAAAAAAATTTCAGAGATTAGTTTTGCCAAAATGACGTTACGCACCTAAAATATTTAAGAATTTTTTTGCTTGCTACGTCAATTTGGCGCTTTTCATCACTGAGTATTTTTATCGCCAAGTCAAAAAAGAATCCATTTATGCTTGTATTAGAAATATTTCGAAGTTTGTTTTAATAAATGTATAGCTGCCAACATTTATTCTTCCCTAAAGTTATAATTGGTAATGATAGGTGAATAACAATTGAATTCAAATTGTGATAAAAACTATTTCGTTAACACTAGCAAAATTTCTATATATTTATTTAAATTTTATATATGTAGTGGTAATCAAAATCTTTTTATATTAACTTTAATAAAACAAGAATCGTATATTACTATTGTGGTCGTAATTGTCCTGATAAATCAGGACAGTGCTTTTTTAAAAATGAAAGTGGTAGCAAAATTACTGCCATCTGTTGAGGGAATTATGCATGACTACAACTGATGAAAACGAAAAGGGCATCATTATCTTCAACCGTTACCAATCCACTGTTGAAGATCTACGACAAACTTTCCCCCCAAAAATTCTATCCGCTGTTCTTCCGATTTATTCCTTATTTGATTTCCTTGGACAAACAATCTGATATTTAATTCTCAAAGAATATATACAGAGTGTTTAGTAAAGATCGCCCTTAATCTATGATTCTAGTATCCTTATCAAAAAGGAAAAAGTCTACACATTGGGTGTTGCATAATAATATTTAAGCGAGGAAGGAAAAAGAAAACGTCATTAAAATATGACGTCACAGTTGAGAAAGGGGGAAAACACATAAAAAAAAGGTTTGATTGCTGTAATGAACCTTTGAAAGTGTTTCAAATCAACTCCTTTGTTTCATCTATTAACCAAGCCTGTCTAATTGTATGTTACACCTGCCTTCCTCTACTGTGATTTGTCAGAATTCGAAAGCGTGTGTTTTTCTTGTTTAAATATTAATTTGTGACCCAATATGTGTATGACTTGTCTTCTTTTTTTTTATATCCTGATTCGAAAAATATATATATGAGCAATTCTACAAATAAACGCCAATTAGGCGGCAAAAAAAAAATTTTTTTTTTTTGGCTGGGCACGCTATTTTTACATGAACTTTCTTCTTTTTTACACCCTAAAAGAGTAAGAAAAAATCGGAAACATGAAATTTTTTCTTTGTGACATACCATTTTTATTTGATATAAATCTGATAAATCTGAGCCATTTATTCAGATAAAACGATTTTTACATAAATATAATATTATTATAATGCCTCTCTAAAATGTATTTATAGAGATTTCATACTATAAGATTGTATTTTAGTATAAAAAACGAAAATAAAAAAAAATAATCAAAGTTCGTAAATTGAAAAAATCGGGAAAAATTTAAAATTGGTATTTTGTCATTTAAAGTATGTCACAAAGAAAAAATTTCATGTTCACGATTTTTTCTTGCTTTTTTAGGGTGTAAAAAAGAAGAAAATTTATGTAGAAATAACGTGCCCCCCCCCCCATTTTTTTTGGCCGCCTAATTGGCGTTTATTTGTAGAATTGCTCATATATGAATAGCAGTTTTTACGGAACGCCTTGTACGCGTGAAAAAAATATTTTCTGCGTCTATTTTAAGAGATATTGAAGCTAATATGAGAGAATCTAAATTAGTCTCTTCAAGTACTGGTTACCACTTTTTATTTTAAAGGCAATGTCCCGTTATCAAGAAAGGACTGCTAACTCTTTTTACTACCACTTTAAATATAAAAAGAAAATGCCCCTGAAAATTCGAGAGAACTGGCAGCTGTCTAAATGTGATTTTTTTTTCGGACACAGGAATGTTAGGTTAAAGGGGAAATATTTTTTAAATTCTAGAATTGTGAAGTCTGTCAGCCCTTTCCCAAATCTGCAATCCCAGAACCAACTTCAAACTGGTTTAGTGACTGTGAAAATTGAAAAACCAGAACCTCCTGCGTAAGTACCATGTTTTTATTTATTTAGTCTTGATGATAAACAAAGTAAGTTTTTAATTTTTTATGACTGACATAATAATTTTGCTCAATATCTTTATAAACTAATTCAGCGTCACCCAAATGCTTGTCAATGCAAAATGCGCTATTTGTTGCTATGAGTTTCAAAGAAATATTTTCAAATCTGTAGAGTTTCAAATTAAACAAAAATAACAAAATCGAATTTTTTTTAAATTGATGCTCCCTAAATTGAATAAATTTCTTTTAATATTAATGTCACACTCATTTTCGTATTATATTTACCAATTAGGGGAGTGTCGGGTACCCCCGCCCACTGTCAATTTCATATGTATAGAATATTTTTTCAAGTCAATGGGCCATCGGACATTAATTGTTATATTAAAAAAGATTATTTTCAAAGTTTCAAGTATTTATGCAGCTGGTAACATGGTAAACAATAGTTTTGAAAATATGGTGAATACAGTAGTCATGAAATTAAGAAAAATTGGTTGAATGTTTCGATTAAACTTCATTTTAATACTAAAAAAATAATTTTTTCTATACATACAGCATTAAAGTATGTAGTTTATGTTTAATATGCACAAAGAAAGAAGTTTATATGTGAAAAATTGTTCGAGTAATTGCAAATTTACAAAAAAATTGGATTCCGGGCAGCCCCGCTCACATGAATGTCGGGTATTACCACCCAATTTTATTTCATTGATAAATGTAGGGTTGCAAAGATTATTATTTTATTGCTTCAAATTTGAATGTTATATGCATTTCACTAAATGTTATATGCATTTCACTAAATGTTATATGCATTTCACTAAAAGTTTATAAATATGTAATAAATAAAATAATTTTGTGATAAAAATGATAAACGAGGTTTATCTATTGTCAATACATTGGTCATTTACACCTGAAAAAACAGTCAAAAAACATAATTTTTGTAGCTGGGCGGGGCTACCCGACACATTTTGAAAAGAGCTGAAAAACATGTTTTTTTTTAATTTCAATTTTTTAAAGTTAAACTATTCTTTTTTTGGTTTATTCTTTTTGCATTATTTTATTAGATGATAAAACAATAGAAACATACAAAAATATTGATTATTACTCAATATTTTACAGAAATGTAAGCAATACTCCTTGAATGAGCGGGGCTACCCGACTCTCCCCTATATAAAAATAGCATAATCGAAGTTTTGAAAACGCCACGATGTTGCCAAAATTGATTTCTGATAACACTAGCATCACCTTTTTATAGTGAAATCAAACAAAATAACATTACATGTTTGTATGAAAATTTTTGCCGGAAAGGAATTCATAATAATTAGCAGGTACTTGAACCTAATACTTCCTGAACATAATACTTGATCCATAAAAATGTATCACGTGACGGCCTCATAATTACGATTAGTAAGGCTTCTAATAATGAGCAATAAAACAACACAAGTCATGAACAAAATTAATTTGAAATTTCTCGTATTAAATTTGTTTTAACATAACTGATCAGCTTTTTAAAATTAAGTTTGACAATTAAATCACGTATAATTATTAAGATAAGTTTTTTACTTAATATTCTCTATGTTTATTATCGTAGCTATTCTTTATCTTTGCTTTCATTCTTTTTTTTTTTTTTTTTGGTGTTTCAGCACTTTCTTTCTCAGAATGATTATGTACTCTTAAAGAGATGTTTTCAAACAACTTTCAAAAACATCATGCTGCGTCATACAAGGATGTTAAGCTAACGGCATTTTTAAAACTTGTTGCCTTGGCCTCATATTATCTCTAGTTTCAAATTACGCCATGCCAGAAATAATATTCTGGACCAAAGATGTTGTCTATTTTATTTTATTGGTCTCAAAAAGTCGACAAGGGTTTGAGAAATCATAGCAGCTAATTAATGGTTTGATTATGTCGTAACCTCGTGCAATTCTTTTATGCTTTTTATTAGTTTTTTTTTCCTTCTTTCTTTCTTTCAATCCTTTGTATGATCCACTCGATAAAGTTAAGAGGAAGAAAAGATTTTATTCTTTCGTTTTGTTATTATTATTTGTTTAATAGTTTGTTTTTATCAGGAATATCTTAGATTTAATGAAATAGCAGTTAAGCTTACAAAGTTTCGAAAACTTTATGAAACTAAGATTATATAAAAGTTTTTTATTTTGTATAATTACGGTAGTTCTGAGTTAGTAAATTTCTTTAATACATTTCGTTATATATATATATTTTCGTTTTTTTACTGTAACGCTTCGAACCCCGGAGGGAATTATGAATAACTCTGTATATAGATAAAATATGATTGTTATTTTAACCTCTTTTTTTCGGAACTAGATAAATTCTAAAATTTTAATGGGTTCATTTATTTTTTTTCAAAGAAGTTGTGTAAGTTCATACCTCAATTTTTCTATTAATTTTGGGCATGTACCGATAGGAATTGAAGCCGTCATTATTAAAAGGGGTATGTTACAAATCTGCATTTTCGAGAAAAACCAAAAAAAGAAAAAACTGTGTCAGTTGTGGAAAGATTGTTTTAATTGCTTCCAAATTGTTGGATTCTCTTCTTTAGGCCGTCTTGAAAATTACTCGGTATTTGATGATAGGTGATTGATGTTACAAAAGTAAACAAAAAAACTTATTCTCGTAAAAATGCTACATACCCCCTATTAACATTGACCACTTCAACTATCCACTAAATACTATACGTTTATTAATTTTAACAAAGCGAATGTCTTTGAAATAGGTTACAGCTAATTGATGATTAAACGCAGTGTCAGTTTAATGACAATCAGCGGATAGATTAGTCACTCTTCTGTGACCTTACAAAATTCTGTTGTTGCGAACACAACTTGATTTTAACAATTAGTTTTCCTCAAACTTTTGGTAAATTGTTTTTTGAAGTTGACAGGTAAAAGTTATAATTTTATTCTCTTAGAAAACGTTTAAAAAATTCCCTTTAGTTTAAATTGTTAAAAATTTTTTACTCCCTCATCGCGATGGACGAGATAACTCGTCTTCCATGAATATTCACTGTGCGCTAGGGGCGAGATCACTCGTCCTATACAGAAAGTTTTTCTATATTGCAGCTTGCCCAGCTACCTATTTTTCCAACATTTTAGCGTTTTTCAGTCCATAATATTTGTCTTTACAATAATTTTAAATAGATTCTATTTCTTGCTGCTTCAGTTGCGTCAGTATCTGACCAAATATCTGCGTGTCATTGTGTCTCATCCGGCCTTCATTTTTAGTCGAATCGTCTGACTTTGTGGAATCCTGGGTAAAACATTTTGCGGTGCCCAAAAAACATGTTTTTCTTCTTATTTATTTATTATTATTATTTTGTGGGGCCCTTTGAATTATAGAAACTACTGCTTTCTTTTCTAATACTAAAATTAAATTTAAAAAAAATGTAAAATACTATCGGCAGAACTTGGGAGGCCTCCTAAAATCTTAGAATTGCATGGATAAATGCTTTGATTACCCCAATCACGGCTTTGTTTTTTAGTATTGCAATCATTTTATCAAAATGTGTAAATGCATAAGTTTTTTTCGGCCAAACTTTCACAATATGTGGGCCATCTAAAAGTAAATAATATCGTATTTAGCGTCATAAGTGTTTTTCCTTAAAGATAAATAAAAATAACGAAATTTTACCCATCGTTAAACATGATTAGAAAATTCAGATTTATCAATCGAATTCCTTTGGTCTCGACGTTTTCGTTATAAGCGAGTTCGATGTATTAGCATGAAAAATATTAAAACAAATAAATATGTTTTCTAAAAACAATCATTTTTGAAAGGAAAAAAAAACAGCAATATCTATATCTTTTATCCCAGTTATTCTATCAGAATCGCACTTCAAACTTATCGCTCTTTTACAATTTCTGCTTCAGTACCCAAAATCGGCTTAAGTGGGTGTTGGGTGCATAAATATTTCTGCAGCATTGGAAGGAGTTATAACTGTTATTCCGTGTTGATCGATAAAATCTTCGTGACGTCATCAAGAATTGTTGTCGTCACGGATGTCATCCCCCTTCCCACGCCCTATCAACTGCGTGTACGTCATCTACGTGGACATCCCCTTTTAATTTATATTATGGCCTCCGCTTGGCTATTTTTAACCCGTTGCTATTTTTAGGTCTATATATATGTATTTATACCAATCACCTTATAACAAGTTCTTTTGAAGAATTAGTTAAATTTATACATCAAAGTAATCAGTAAAGATTTATATTTTAACTAATCACTCCCACTCTCCGAAAACTATTCCTATGAATTTGACTATTTAAATGTATGCATTTATGTTTGTTTGGGGGCAAGTAGCTATTTATAAGTTTGTTAAAGCTTATCTGAGTGACAAACTTTATAAGTATAGGGCAAACACAGGGCGACAAAATTGTATTACATACGGCTATTAGCGAAATTGTCTGCAAGCCGTCACCAATCGCCACTTTTTTCGTTTTCGTCGAAAATCTTTATTTATTATTATTTTTATTATTATTATTATGCTATAATTATTTTTTAATTTTATTATTATTATTATGCTATAATTATTTTTTAATTTTATTATTATTATATTATAATTATTTTTTTATTATTATTATTATTATTATTATTATTATATTATAAATTATTATTATTTTTTTATTTTATTATTATATTATTTTTAATTATTATTTTATTATATTATTTTTTTAATTGTATTATTATTATTATTTTGTTAATAAATATAGTATTTTTAATATTTTATAATGTTTTGAAAATTACTATATTTCATACTTGTTTCTAAAAGTTTTCTTCGAATTATAAATAAACCGTGTAATGTTTACCGAATTTTAAAAAATGGTTCATAGCAAATACCTTTCATCATTAATATCAAGTTTTTTTATCACTTAAAATTTTTAAAGTTTGAAAAAGTGTCCACTGTTAAAGTGCCACTACTGGACACTGGACAGTAGCTGAATTTCCTAGTTTTGACCTACATAAGGGTAATAGAACACACAATAGGGTAGTATTTACTTTACTCCCTTAAAGCAATCTCCCCCCAATTTTAAATTATTATAATTGTAGAATTACTATGCTTTTAGTTATTTCTAGTTATGGCTCTAAACTAAAATCCCCCCCCCCAAA